AAGGTCACAATTGAAAATTTTTATATGTCACAGTTCGTTCATCGGTCACAAATTAAAAATTTAAATGTCACAATTTATTCATCAGTCACAAATCACAAAATTTATAAGTCGCAGAACTTATTTTACGGTCACAAAATATCAAATTAATTGGTCAAAAATTATTTCGAGGTTACAAATTAAAAATTTTATACGTCACAATTTAATTCATTGGTCACGAATCAAAAAAATTATAAATCACAGTTTATCGATAGGTCACATGTTTCCAAATTTCTTGGTCACAAATTATCGAAATTTAAGGTCACAAATTAATAATGAGTCACAATAAACCAAAATGTCGATCACATACAGCAAACAGCCCACCCCGTCCTAATCCTCCATCATTATTTGGTCACAAATCAACCAAATAATTGGTCACAAATACTACCCCACCCCCACCACAACACCAACCAAACCACCACCGTCGCCCTGTCACAATACCACCACAACCACCGCCACAATAACAACAAAAAAAACCACACCAATCGCCGTCTGCACCGTAACACCGAAAAAACCACCACCACCGCCGTTCACCCCACCAGAACACCACCACAACCACTGCCACAATAACAACAAATGGCGACCAAAATATATATCTACCGCGGATCCACCACAGACCCCCTACTGCCACTGCCACAGATCCACATCCACCAACACCACCACAACACCAAAACCACCAGTACTACCATCGACACTACCACAACACCAAAACCACCACCAGATTTCTCCACTCCAGCAAAAAGACGCCTCAACACAGCGGCTTCGGCTAATCAAATCAAACCGAAGGAGAATGTCCTAAAATACCCCAAACTTCCTCCCCAAATTTATCTTCTGTCGACGAACAAAATGCCCCAAACTAATCCCCATATTTTTCTGCTACGATGGCGGGTACACCGTCGGACAACGATGCAACGAGTTTGCAGTAGTCTCGTCGCTGCAAACGGCAGAGCTCACAACGCACAGCACCGCTGCTACAGAGCGTCATCGCGCAGCTACTAGCACCGGAGAGAGAGAGAGAGAGAGGTTGGGAAGACAAAGAGAGAGGTTGGGAAGACAAAGAGAGAGGTTGGGAAGAGAGAAATCTCCTCGCCGGCCAGGAGAGTCGTAGAGAGGTTGGGGGGAGGAGAGAGAGAGAGAGATAGGATAAAATGAAAATAATTAGGGTTTGGTTAGGGTAGAATAATTTAATTTTTATAATAATATTATTAATATTTAAAATTTTATTTATATTTGATTTTTGAAAAGAAAAATTTTAAATCTGAATTTCGAATTGTATAGTTTAAAACTAGGGGTGTGAGTAATTTCCTCAAATGAAATTCTATAGAAACTCACAGTTGATATAAAGCAATTGTCTTGAGAAGGCTCATTAGCTGGTTCATATCTGTCATAAGTCTCGAAGAAAATTTCATCCACATGTCCAAGAAGATCGACCCCTGGTTTCAGTTCAATCTCTGGCTGGTCAGTTTCTGCCTCTGTGGAGACAAATGCAATGAATTTCCCTTTTGGAGCAACATTGTGCGAATAAGAGCAACAAAATAGATACCTGAAGCATAAAAAAGTAGGTATGAACCCTTGCGTAAAAAGTAGTATAGAACAAAAATC